AGAGAAAGAGAGAGACTGACTTAACGAGAAAAAAATAACAGTCCAACATAATCCTAATAAATGTCCATTAATCCCTTTTCCCTGAAATATTATCTAAAAAATAAACAAAAAAAAACTTGATTCACCCTAATTACTCCCGAGACCCAATCGCTAATTACTGATAATTTCACTCAACTTGATTAAGAGGAGCATTCATTAGTGATTAGAGCTAAATAGCCTACCGCTAATTAGGGTCACTTCTAATATCAAAGGAAAGTGATGAAATGTGAGAGAACGAGATAAATAGATAAAGAGAGAGAGAGAGAGAGAGAAAGGTGAGGGTAAAATGGATAATTATGATGAATAATAGATTAATGAGAGACTAAGTAATCTAGTTAATTACATGATCCTTTTTCTATCAATTTGTAGTTGGAATTAATTTCTAAAAGTGATTTTTTTTTCTCAGAGATTATGCAGTAAAGATGAAAAAGAACGTTAATTATAAAACTATTTAGCTAAATTGGAGACGAAAAGCGAAGTTGCAAAGAAGGTGAAGTGATTGCAAAGGGACGATGGAGAGGAGAATGCAACATTTGCAACACCCTGAAGCAGTACCGTAAATATATAATTTATATGATCTTTTTAGACGTAAAAAACGTTTAAGATAATATCAAGGAGTTATATAAAAACATGCAATCAGGTGAACAGGTTATTACTATCATTATCATCATTAACATTTATCGCTCTTATCAGCTGTCTCTGATCTTCTATCTGTTCTGATCATACTGTCTATCGTTCGGTCTATCTCATCTTCGCCCTTGGTATAATTCCATCCTCTTTGTCACCTGATATTATATCTCAGTTAGCTAAGATTTAAACATTTGATATTTCTCGAGTGTATTTTTGCAAACGACTAATGATAGCATTATCGTGATCTATGAAACGGATCAGATTAAACGTTTCTTTCTAGCTACTTCTTATCTGAATTCTGCGATTATTCTAATGAGTTTTGTGTGGTTGGTGCTAATTATCATAACATTTGTGATATATATTTTTTTTTTATGCAGTATTTTAGCGCATCATGTTATCATCGCTAAAATCTCTTGATAATTACCTGCTAAAGCGAGATATATCTAAAATACTTTCTTGACCCCAAAAAACAAAAAGGGAGGGGATAATACAGTCGAAAATCCTATCATTTCTTCGTAGTCAAATGGATCTTATTGACATCCCCGTATTTACCGCCATGCGCCACCGCTGCCATATTGCTCGCTCTTGCCACACGAGGATCCGCTGAATACGCTAAATCGAGGTTCGTGTCGAGCGGGCATTAAGCACTCTCCTGCTAATTATTGAGGACGGGGAAAATTTTTGTCCATCGGAAAGGTAGTATTTACCTGCCTTCATAATGAGCGGTGATGAAGGCTCAGGACAGTTGAGATGAAGTTATTAGCGAATTAATGAGGATATCAAAGGGAGAGAAGAGAGTCCTTTTGATGTCTTACATACATGGGTTCAAGTATAGTGTTATCATCGTCTCCCTCCCTCTACCCCCCTTTCTCTTTCTGTCTCTCTTTTTCTCTCTCTTTCTCTCAATTTCTCTCGATAATGGAAGGAAGAGTAAGTCACCTAAGACATAAAAGAATTATGGTCACGCTTTGGGTAATAGACAGGAAGGCGAACTGCAACTAGAGCGTATCCAAAGAAAGGTTGAGTGCGTCTGTAAAGGATTCACGCGAAGGTCGAATTAACAGAGAAAAGAGCATAAAGAGATAAGATATATGTAGAAGATAAAAAACGGAAAAAGAAAAATAGAAGATAATACAGAAAATACGTAGAAGTAGAAGTAGAAGTAGAAAAATAAGTAGTAAAAAAATAAAAATAAGTAGTAAAATAATAAGAAGAAAATACATGTAGAAAACAAAAGCAATGAAGTTTTGAGAAAACAAATAAAAAAACAAAAAACAAAGCATCAAAACAAAAGCAAAACCTAAACGAAAAACAAAATCCACAGAAAATGGATCCCAAGGAACCATAGAAAACGACGGCGGAATGTGGTCATGTCTAAATCGGATCCAAATAAGGACGGAGGCTTGCCGAGTGCCATAAAGGTGAAACTTTTTTTCTGTCACGAATGCCTGAACACAAATTGCCCGTTACCCTGTGGTAATTCGTGACCCTGTTACTCAGTGGGATCCATGAATTATGATGTGACAAGGTAATCGGAGAGGGAAGGAAGGAAGGAAGGGGAAAGATAAATAGAAGAATAGGTACGTAAAGGAATATATATATATATATATATATATATATATATATATATATATATATATATATATATATATATATATAGAGAGAGAGAGAGAGAGAGAGAGAGAGAGAGAGAGAGAGAGAAGGGGAAAGAGATAGAAAGAGAGAGAGAGAGAGAGAGAGAGAGAGAGAGAGAGAGAGAGAGAGAGAGAGAGAGAGAGAGAGAGAGAGAGAGAGAGAGAGAGAGCAAGAGCGAGAGAGAGAGAGAGAGAGAGAGAGAGAGAGAGAGAGAGAGAGAGAGAGAGGGAAAGAGATAGAAAGAAAGAAAGAGAGAAAGATATTTGAGATTAAAACAGAGAAAGAAACAACGAGATAGAAAGATACAGACAAACTCAGAGAGAGAGACAAAAAGAGAAGAAAACGCAAAAAAAAGAAAAGAAAAAGAAAAAGCAGAAAAAGAGAGAAAAAAAAAAACAGACAAAAGGAGAAAGACACCACAAGGAAGACGACTCAAGAACATACATACTCCCTCTTTAACCCCCCACACCCCCCCACACTCCCTATAACCTCTCAACTCCCCCCCACCCCCACCCCCCTCCACCCCACCCGACCCCGTGCCTTTCAAGATGCAGATTACACTAAGAACTCTCACCCCCGCTGATTCTAATAGGCGACATTTTAAGTCAAAATCATAGCTATAAACCGCTCTTCTAACTTGATATAAAGGCGTTATATAATATTTTCGAGATTAAATCGTTTGCTTTTGACGTGTAATAGTGCGGAACAGAATTAGGTTAAAAAAATACAAAACACAAAAAAAGGAAAAACAAAAAAATAAAAAAAATATATAGATACACATAAAAAAATAAATGGAGTGTGAGAGAAAGAGATAGAATAAATATATATATATAAAACATTAAGAATTTCAAAAGCACCTTTAGACTTTAATTGTGCGGGAACGAGTGGTAGTAAGGTTGTCAGGTTGGGACTAGACAACCACTTATCAACGCCAATAATAAGAATTAGCAGTCAATTACATCGAAGATACGACATGTTCGAGTAAAAAAGAAAGGAAAAAGGAAAAAAAAAGAAAGAAAAAAGGAGAGAAGGGGGAAAAAATTCAACCTTCTATACCCCCCCCCCCTCTTTCTTCCTTCCCCTCCCCCCCTTACCCTCCTGCGTGTCATTTGCATCAGGGGGAAGGGGGGTGGGGTGGAAAAGGGGGAAGGGGTTTAATCGTTACTTTTCTTTCTTTTTTTGTTCTATTTCTATTTCTACTTCTTTTGCCTAAATGTTGAGGTTGAGGCTGAGGAGGAGATCGGGGAGAAAAGGGGATAAACAAGAGGAAGAGGGAGGGGAAGAAGAAGAGACGAAGAGGAAGATAGGAATAAGATGGAAGGAGAAGGGAGAAGGGGATGAAAAATGAAGAAAAGAAGGAGGAAGAGAATATAAAGAATGAGTTCAAAAAGAGAATTAGAGAAAAAAAGGAATAAAGGAGACCCAGAAACAAAATAAAATAAAATAGAGCCATAGAGAATAAGAAACGAAAGAAAAGAAAGAAAAAGGGAACAAGGAAAGAAATTCAACAGAACGGCGAGGAGAAGGAGGGAGTGACAGATGAAAGGAGGAAAATGGGGGGGAGGGGGTGTTTAAGAGAAGCTAGGAGAGGGGGAAAGAGAGGACCAGAGAATCTAGGAAGGGGGGGGGTAGGGAGGAAGGAAGTTCAAGAGAAGCCAGAAGAAGGGAGGAGAAGAAAGAGAGAGAGAGAGAGAGAGAGAGAGAGAGAGAGAGAGAGAGAGAGAGAGAGAGAGAGAGAGAGAGAGAGAGAGAGAGAAGGAGAGAGGAGAGGCGAGGACCAGAGCGAAGCCAGTTAGAGTCTAAATATTATATACAGAAAGAACCCGCCGTATAATTATCGAGACATCCGCACTTTATGAAGTCTTAAGGTGCCTCGCCATGCTTTCAATCCAAGGAGCTGGATAGGGGGTTACAGGCTAAGTATAATCGCAGGTATAAGGACATGGCACGGGAAACTAATAATTACAGAGCTGGCGTGATGGCTTTATAAGGGGATTGAACTATATGATCACACTGTAAATGTTTACAGTGTTTCTGCCGACGGTCTTGCTTGGCGATAAGAGGGGGAAGTATGTAGATAACACAGATAAAGAGGTAGATAGATAGAAATAGATGAAGGTCTAAGCCAGAGTTTATATGTATATGCACACTCGGGACGCACCTGTATTTACATATGCAAAATAGGTGTGTGTGTTCAGAGGCTGAAAGTGAGAGAGAGAGAGAGAGAGAGAGAGAGAGAGAGAGAGAGAGAGAGAGAGAGAGAGAGAGAGAGAGAGAGAGAGAGAGAGAGAGAGAGAGAGAGAGAGAGAGAGAGAGAGAGAGAGAGAGAGAGAAGAGAGAGAGAGAGAGAGAGAGAGAGAGAGAGAGAGAGAGAGAGAGAAAGAGAGAGAGAGAGAGAGAGAGAGAGAGAAGAGAGAGAGAGAGAGAGAGAGAGAGAGAGAGAGAGAGAGAGAGAGAGAGAGAGAGAGAGAGAGAGAGAGAGAGAGAGAGAGAGAGAGAGAGAGAGAAAGAGAGTGAGAAGGGAGAGAGAAGAGTTAGAAGTTAATTAAAAGTTAGAAACTTAAAACAGAGAAAAAGGAAAGAAAGAGAAAGCGAATAATAAGAAGTTAAATAAGATCCATCTAACCCAAACCTCCCCGACTCCAAGTATTCAAGGAGAAGAGGGAAGGTAGATGGATAGATAGTTAGATAGATAG